TCGGGGGACCATGCCGGCTGGGGTGGATCCCATATGGAAAGCATGTGCTGCAGCCCTTTCAGCCCGCCCCAGCCCTGGCCCACTCCCGAGTCCTCACGCAGTCAGAGAACAGTGCCTGGAACAGAGCCGCTGCTTACTAATTGTTGGCAAGGAAATGGGTGAATGCTGCTACATTTAAATTGTGTGACCTTGGGCAGGTCAGCTGTGTGGACTTCTGAGAGCCCCGCCTGCAGTTGGAAGGGTGGCTGATTTGAGGGGAGTCAGTGACCAGAGCCTTGAAATCCCTACCTGACTACACCCCAAGACCAGGAGGGCCTGGGCTTACTAGACTAGGACTTGGCCTATGTGCAGCTCAGGGTCTCACAGGCCTGGCTGGTGGGTAGATCTCTTTCCCTCTTCTCCACCCTTTGTGCTCGGCTGGGTGGGCCCTGGCTCCCCCCACACCCCCAAATGCCTGTGGGCCTTTCAGTGAGCCACTCGCACCTTCCCAGGTCCCTGCCTGGGCTCCCCAGCTGCCACCTCCCTCCTCACCACTTTCCCTTCCCAGTCCTGTTGCTAATTTAACCCCGGAGTGGTGCTGGAACACACTCCTGGAAGGAGGCGATGGTGCTGAGTGCCAGCCTGCCCAGGCCTAAGCTCTCCTGGACACGGCCACACTTCCAGGCTTGGCAACCCCCCACTCAGGCCCCCTCAGCTCTTCTCCCTGCCAAGCCCTGGGGGGTGGTCGGAACCCAAGGAGCCTGATCTACGACCCCTCAGCACTGATGCAACACTTGCTGTGTGCAGGGAGCTACGCGGGGTCTCCTAGACCTGGCCTGTAGGGTCTGGTGGGACAAACAAGAGGTTAGGGGCCAGGCTGACCTGTGCTAACATCTTGGCAGTCACTTTATTCATTGACTTGCTGAACCCTGAGGAGCACTTACTCTGTGCCAGGCAGAGGTGAGCATGGCCTCTTTATTTTGGGGTGGGGTGAAACAGCAATGCTCCTGGCACTGTGCTCAGGGGCCACTCCTGGTGGTACTGGAAATTGAACCCAGCCTGCTGCTAAGCATGTGTCCAGCCCATTGAGCTCTCTCTCTCTCTAGCCCCCCGACCTCTTTTTTTTTTTTGGTTTGTGTTTTTGTTTGGGGGTCGTAGCTGGCAGTGCTCAGGAATCACTCTTGGTGGTACTTGGGGGACCATACAGGATTCCAGGAATCGAACCCAGGCTGGCTGCGTGCAAGGCAAGTGCCCTTCCTGATGTATATTGCTCCAGCCCCAGATGACTTTAGAAACTCCTCGTCAGGTGGAGGTCTGATTTCTTGCTATCTTGGTGTACGCTGTTGACAAGTCCTTTGATGGTTCTAACTGGGTTTCCCATCTCAGATGGGCAGATTCTTCCCATAGGACAGTTCTGCTGGCCCTATGATGATACTGTGAGGGGCCCTGACCTGGGAGGGTGCTTTCTGTCCCCTCCTGCACTCTTCTGCTCCCAGGGACAACAGAGGCTCTGGGACAGATGAAGGGCTCAGCTCCCCTTTGGGAATAAGCAACCCCACTGCCATCTCACTCCTCCAATCCTCCAGGATGTGTCTTGAAATCCAGGACCCAAGAAGGGCAAGCACCGAGGGACCTCATAAATCCCGTGATTCGTCCTTGTCCTGAAGTTCTTGTTGTCCAGGACTGCCCTTCTAATGGGCTGTTGCTTCTGAAAAGTCCCCAGGCTGGTCAGGTTTATAGAAAGACTTGGCCTAGTCGCATTCATTCATTTACTTCATTCATTCAACAAGTACTTATTGAATGTGTGTCAGACAGCGAGACAGGAAGAGCACACCAGTACAAAAAGAAGCAGTTCTGCAAAATACACAGGAAGTACCGCACATGGCACTTTAGGATGTGGGGATGAGCACTCCATGCAGAGGCCAGCCGGGACAAAAGCCCTGAGGTAAGGCTGTGCCAGGTAAACTCAGGAATAGCAAGTGAGATCAGGGAGGGGCTGGAGTCTGGCTGGGTCTGGTCACTTCGAAGTGGCTGGAAGAGGGCACACCCTCCGTCCTCACAGCCCCACCTGCCTGTCTTGACCCTGCAGGTGTCAGCAGGTGATGGGACAGTGTGAGGGTAAAAGCACTGTTAGAGATTTTTTTTTTTTTGCCTCATGGTACATGAAGTGGGCCTTTCCTGGTTCACCCAGCAGCCTGGGTGGCCTTGTTGCCGCAGGTTTTTGAAAGGCGTAGTAGGCAGTCTGCATTTGAAAGACGAGGTATCCACAGGGCAGTGGGGGTACTCAAGGCTTGCTGGTAGCTGGTGAGTCTCCAGAGTGCGGCTCTGTTTTTGTTTTTTGTTTTTTCTGTATCCTTAGCAGGGGAGTCAGATGTCAAATCAGAGGATAAGTTTAGGGTCCATATGTGGGAGAGGGGTCTACTCTGAGGGCAGGTGTGGAAGGGTCCAGTTCCTGGTAGCTGTACTGAGAGGACTGGATAGGCTGTAAGACATCCAGGCCAGTTGTTCCCAAGCCTGACTAACATGTTGATTCCTAGGTAGGAGAAATAGCATGTGCAAAGGCCCTGGGCATGTGGGATTAAGATTGGGCTTCAGTCCAGGAGTGTTTTGTTATATCCTAGGGGACACGAGGGTATGGACTGGGGATTCTGGGCATCTCTGTGCCATCAGCTGAGCAGTACCACAGTCCTTTGGGAAACACCTTCTGCTGGTGCTTTTCTCCCCACCCCCAAACCCAGAGGGGGCTGGATTCGGAGGCACTCAGGTTAAGTCACTCAGGGTGGAGATGCCTGGACTGCCTGCTCCCTTTCTAAGTTGCCACCCGACCCCAGGAGTGCTTTGCAACCTGGGCAGAAAGCAGACCTCCGTGGGGGTGGGTGGGGAAGGAGGAGGTGGGGGCAGGTATTGAGCAGTTAGCAGAGGTAGGGCAGAGGGTTAAGAGCATGTGGAGAGGAAGCCTGGCGATCAGTGATCCACAGCACCCTGCATCAGAGGTCTCAGGTCAGCTTCCCCCCACCTGAGGCGGGAGACCGCGGTGGGGGCACTGGAAATTGAGAGAGATGGATGGGCAGGAAAAAGTGCAGAGCCAGGTCTGACAGCTGCGTGGTCCCTGGCGCACGATCACTGGGTGGATGGACGGAAGATCGGACACGTGTGTGAATAGCAGAGTGAGCTGATGGAGAGAAGGATAGACGGATGAATGAAGGAATGAATGAAAGGGTAGGCGGTGAGCATACTGTCGAGGGGCGGGCCAGCCAAGCGCTCAATCACAACCGCGGGGCGCTGCGGCCGCCCGCCCGCTAAGCTCCGAGCACCCCTACAGCAGCTGGCAGAGGCGCGTAATTCCGCGCCCTCGGGGGCCTGGAAGACGCTCCCGACGGCGCCCGGGGGCCGGGTGGAGCTGGAGCTGCGCCACCGCACCCGGACTCCTCCTCGCGCCTTCACTTCGCTCGAGCGGGGCATCCCTCGTCCTCGAGGTGGGCGGGGGGGGGGGGGGGGGGACCTTGAGGTGCGGTCCCTGCTCGCCGATCCCGGCCCTTCTTTGTCTCGGCCTAGTCCGACGCAGTCTCTGGGCCATGACCCGCCTTCTCCGGGCCGCCCTCGCCTGCACTTCTCGGCTCTCCTGGTCCCCTCTGGCCCCAGCTCACAGGCGTCTCCCCGGTCAAGCGGGGTCCTTCGAACGCAGTGACGCTGGGACGGCGGGCCTGGCAAGTGCCAGCGCTTGCGAGCTGTGTCTGTGGCGCGGAGAGGGCGGGGGCGCTGATGAAGCCCCCCTTGTCTCCGCCCTCTCTCCTCGCCCCACCTCCGCCCCTATTCCCCGCGCTGCGTCCCGACCTCAGCGCCGCCGGTTCGAGCCTTCAGCGGCTCTGCTGCGGCGGTGCGATGCCCCACGCCACGCGGAGCCCGCCGGCTGCGGCCCTGCCAGCAGAGCACGGCCCCACGCAGGCCGGGCGCGTGTGCGCCCCCCGCGGCTTCTCGCCGCTCACCAGCCCCGCACAGGTGCGCGGCCCCTGCCACGCGCAGCCCGGGAACCGCAATCCCACTCGCAAACAAGCCCGCTGGGGGGCACGGCGCCCCGGAGGCACCGACATGACCCACGGCAGCAGCCCCACGCAGGTGCGGTCCCACCCACGCAGTCGCACCACCCCTGGACAAGCCATCGCACACAAACAACCCCACGCAGCATCGCGTCGCCCAGCCTCCCCGAGGCCCAGAGACACATTCACAAATGCATTCACGAGCTAGTAGCCAGACCTCCCCCCGCCGCCCCCAAACCCCGTGACATTCACACGTAGGACAGACCAGAAATAGATGGCCACATTGATACACACACAGCTCCCATCGCACAGCCAAGAGCTCACCCACGGGCTCGTAAGTGGGAAAATATTAAAGCGTTCCCTCCCCCCGCTCTGTGTTTGACACGCGTACGCGCGCGCGCGAGCACACGCGCGCACACACGCGCACACACACACACACAAACACTCACCCCACCCCCATCCCCCGTCCCCGAGAGCCTCGGAGCCGCCGAGCGAGTGACCCCGAGCCCCAGCGGGGAGAGCCGCGGGAGCGTCGCCCGGCGCCCCCTCCTCCCGCCGCTGCCCGAGCGCCCTCCCGCTCCTCCCCCTCCCGCCCGCCCCCTCCCCCTCCTCCCCTCCCCCGCGTCTGGGGCGCGGGCTGCGCTCAGCCAAGCCCCCTCGTCGCGCGCCCTTCCCCGCGCGCGCCCCGCGCCCGCATCGCGCTTGCCGAGTGGATGCGGCCACGGGGCGGTCTCTAATTACCTCCTGTCCCCCGGCGGCCCGTGAATAATGGCCACTGAGGGCACTCGCAGGGGCTGCTGAGAAGGAAACGCGGGGCGCAGGAGGCGCGGCGCGCGCGGGAGCGCGAGGGAGAAAGGAGCGAGCCCCGGCCGCCGCGAGCGGGCGGAGAGAAAGGAATCGTGCGAGCGCTCACATTTTTTTCTCCCAGGGAGCTCGTCTGGCCGCCGCGTTCTGGAAGAGGCGAGGGGGTGAGCGCGCGCGAGTGGAGGAGCAGGAGCAGGAGGAGGAGGAGGAGGAGGAGGAGGTGGAGGAGGAGGAGGAGGAGAGAGACGGCGCGGGCAAAGGGAGACGGCGAGAAGCGCAGCACCGGCGCCCCGAGACCCAGGAGGAGCCCTCAGGTATTGTTGGCGGCAGAGCTTTGTGTCTTGGGGGGCTGTTAGGGCGCGCAAGGGCCCCGGGAGCCCCCAGCCCTGTGCCGCGGGCTCTCAGGTCCCCCCGAGCCCAGCGCCGCGGGCGGGGGTCGCCGCCCTCTGCGGGCACCCCTCCCGCCGCGCCGCGATCTTGGCTGGAGTTGCAGATCTGCCTGTTTTGGCGTTTTCCGCGCGGCTGAGGAGAATCAGTCCCGGGAGGAGGAATTTCTTCCCCTTTTTTTTGAACCGTAGTTTGGCTGTGCTGGGAATTCCCCCATCCCCTTCCGTCCACAAGCCAGTGGAGCGAGGTCTCGGCGACAGTGGCCTGCGAGGGCGGGGGTGGGGGCTGAGCTGGCGGGTCTGGGGGCCGCAGCCCCGGCGGGGGGAGATGCCCGAGACGCCAGGAGTTTGCTCAAGTTCGCCGTCTGCGCTCGGAAGCGGGTCTGGCCGGGAAGGGCTGTCCGCGCGCCCCGTCCTGCCCCGGGCAACCGGTGGGAAAGTTCCCGAGCTCGAGCCTCCCTGGGGACGCGGCCCCCCGACGCCTCCGGCGAGTCCGCGGCCGGCGCGGCCCCTCCTGGCCGCCCGCGAGCGCTTGAGGTCGCGCGCTCCCCACCCCCGCCTTCCTCCCTCCGGGCGGCTTCCGGACCTGGACGCGGCTGGAGGGGCCGCTTCAAACACTTCCCGGGAGACCCCTCCCCACTCCCCTGCGCGCCGGGGGCCCCCGGCCCGCACCCCGCGGCACCCCCGAGGGGCCAGGCTGACAATGAAATCTAGCGCCTCTGCAGTGTGCGTGCGTGGGGGCGGGGGTCGGCGCGCGGTCTCTCCGGGGGCGGCTGACCCGGGCAGGGGCGGGGGCGGGGAGGCTGATTGGGGGGAGGGGCTTGTTTGGGTTAGAGACGTTGACGTCGTGTGGCGCCGGGAGGGGAGGCGGAGGGGGCGGGGTGGGTGCTCGGTGGAGGCCCGCCGCCGGGGTTCGCGGCCCCGCTCCTGGATTGGGGCCCCTTTTGGACTTGGCGATTGGCGGGTGACCTCGGGGGTGTCGAGGCTCCCCCCCCCGCCCCAAGCCTTCTGCCCCCCAATCCGGCCTCCTCCCCTCCTGTACAATGCGGGCTTCTGAGGCGATCCCGAGTGTGTGTGTGTGTGTGTGTGTGTGTGTGTGTGTGTGTGTGTGTCTCCAAGTGTTTGTCTCCTGCGATCCACAGCAGACGCTGCTCGGTGACCCGGAGATCCGGACGCCTCGCCCCCTCTTTCAGATGCTCGGGAGGGTGGTGGGGGAAGGAGAGGGGGAGGGGAATGGTGGGAACTTCATGTCCCACTAGACCCCCCCCAAGGTTGTGCCACCCGAGAATTTCTGGGGACCGCAGTCCTGAGCGGCGCTTAACTCCACGCGGTGGAGGAGGGGCTGCGGCCCCGCAGAGCCCCCCATCTTTCTGCACTTTAGTGTGTGGCAGGAGAGGAAGGGGTGAAGGGCCACTTAGAATCAGAGTGGGGGCAGAGAAATTCATGGAAACCTGCCTTCACTGGCCGTCCCCCCTCCCCCCCAAGCAGGGGAGGAGGCCAAAGGGGGGGGGCTTCCCTTTCTCTTCCCAGGTCTGAGAGCCAGGGCCGGTGGCGGAGAAGCCAGTTGGCAACCCAGGCTAGGAAGGAAATTCTCCTCCTTCCTTAAAGGGGATTCCTGGGGGAAGGGGGTGGCTGTAGCTGTTGGCTGGCTACTCTCTTTCCTGGACCAAGAATAGAAAGAGTTAACCCTGCCCAGAAATCTGTCAGTGCTGACCCAGCAGGGACACCGCGTGGGACCCTTTGACGTGCTAACAGTGTGACACTGGCTGACTGGAGCTAGCAGATTCCATCCCCAGTGTTCCCCTCACAGCACCACAGGGACTTAGGGCCATGGGGAGTCAGGACCCAGAGAGGGTGTCAGAACCCTTGGGGAAGGCCTGGCGAGGTCGTTGGAAGGGGAGTTATCAGGGGGGTAGAAAGGGTCAGGAACAGACAGGTCCCTTCTATACTTTGTCCCCCACCCCTGCGGGAAGCCTGCTGTGAGGAGAGTGTGGACCCAGGGCCTGCCTGCCAGAGAGGCGGGGCTGAAGTCAGCAGGACTGGCTTGTTTCTGCCGAGGCCCCATTACAGCACAAGCCCCTTGGTTAGTGTGATGGGGTGGGCTGCCCCTCCCCCACCCCAGTGTCCTTTCCCTGCAGGTGAGAATCACCTTTCTCTGCAGATCTCAAAGCACAGTGGGGGCCTGGCATGCAACCGGCACTTGTCTTTGACTGGACAAACAGGAGTGAATGAATCAGTAATGAATGAATGAATAAATGAATGGAAGAGAAAGTTTCTCAATTGAAGGCGTTTTGTCTTTCTGTTAGCTATTGGGGCCCCATTCGGTGGGGGCAGATGGATCCTGGATGCTGGAACTAACCTAGAACCCCGGAGCCTGTTATAGGCATGGCAAAAGCGCTGCCACTTGAGCCCCAGCCCTCACTGTAGTATATACAGATAGATATATATATATAATTTAAAACATGATCAATAGAAAAATCATTAAAATACAAATGCAGAAGGTGACTGATGGTCATCCTGAGCTATGGCATTGTTGGTATGTTGATGTGGTCCTTTCCCGTCTCTTGGCTTCAGCGGTTGGTTTGTTTTTTTAAGGACTTTGTCGTCATTCTCTATATTCAGATGTCTATCCTGCTCTCTGCGTTGTTGATGCTAATAGGAGCCTTTTCCTATTTTGTAACGAACTGTTCACAAACATCACGGCCAGTGTCTGCAGGCTTTTCCAAGCAAGTGGATGTGCCATCTTGCACTCACACTCCCCTTTTGTTCGGCACTTGGGATGCTGATGAACGGGGTAGTGGATTTATTTTTGTGGAGAGAGCTTTTTTTTTGATGTTCAAGATGATTTCCTCAAAATGACGCTGCTGCTGCTGCTGCTGTTGCTGCCACTGAAGGCTGCGAAATGCCTGCAGTGGAGGAAATGGACTAGTTGTTTTCCCCACATAACTGGGGCACTATTTTCCTTCCTTCCTCGCAATCCAGAACCTTCTATCAGAACCAATGAATCACCTGTCTGAATCCCCTGCTCTGACAGAGGAGGAAATGGGAGTCTCACGAGGGGAAGTGAATCCCAAGGTCACACAGCAGCCGCTGGGCTCGACAGCAGCTAGGAACTGTCCTTTCGTCTCCTCAGCCAGGAAGCGTCCCCAGGCGTTCTTTAGGCTGACCTTGCCCATTTCACAGATGGGGGTACTGAGAACTCCAGAGAGGAGAAGCACCCCATTTGTTCCTGCTATAGACTCTTGGTCACTCATGCTGGCTGTGTCCAGTGCGGCCTTAGTGACCTCTGCTTGACCAGCCACTGCTTGACTCCTTGTAGGCCTGCCTCACAACTGGCTCTCCGCTCGTGTGTGTTTGTGGCGACAGGGATTGTACCCAAGGTCTCACTCATGCCAGCCAAGTGCTCCACCACGAAGCTCCATCCCCGTCCCCACCCCCTTCATCCTTCTAGAAGGGAAAAGCAAAGCCCGAGCAGTGAGAGAGGGGCCTGTGTGGTTGTGGCCTTACCCTGGAGACTCAGTTTGCTAGTTGAGAGACTTAGCTCTGGGACTGTTCGGGAGCTGGGCACCGCTGGAGGGAGTGGTAGCCTGTTACCTCTTGAAGTCCCTTTGCTCCTAGAGGGCGCCCCAGGAAGACCCCTGGGGGAGGAGGTGTGGGGAGAGGGAAAGAGCGGGGGAGAGAAGAACGTAAGCTGAGGGGCTAGGATGTGGGTCAGTGGTCAAGCACCTGCCTTGCAGGTGTGGGGTCCTTGGTTCCATCCCTGGCCCCGCCGAAAAAGGAAGAATGGAAGCTAAGGCCAGGAAGAGGGAGGCGGCAGGGAGATCAGGAAGAAAGGTTGTGAAAAGTGGAGAGAGAAGGAAGCCCCCTCACAGTTTCATTGGCCCCCAGGAGAGGCTGGGCAGACTCACACCCAGTGGGGGACTGGCCACCTGGTTCTGATGACTAGGAGGGTCTGGGCATCGAGGTGGGCTCTGTTGGGGGCAAGGGCTCTGACAGTTCCACGGGAGCAAAGCAGGTGGGACAGGGTGGCAGGGCCGGATGGTGACTTCTCTGTCCTTAGGGGCCCCCTGGGGTAGTGGCCAGCAGGTGCTGGTAGGGTCAGCGTGTCTATCAGTGGATGGGTCATGTTATGGGCAGCCCTCCTGTGGCACTCGGGCATTTTGAGCGTCTCTGAGGTGTTGCGCTTTGCCACATCCCTGCAGGCACGTGCACATCCGTGTGAGCTTGTGTGGTGTGTCTCTGCGTATCCTCCTCCCTGTGTGTGTGTGCCCACAGGAGTGCCTCAGTGCGTGCTCACGCTCACGGGTGCGTCCAGCCCGGGTATGTGTGTGTGCCTGCATGTGTGTGCAAATCTGTATGCGTGTCTGTGGGTGTATGCACGTGTCTGGAGTCTCTGATCTCATTCGTGCATCTCGGGAGGGGGAGGGGAGAGCGTGCCCTGAGCTTGGGCACGTGCGTGTTTGTCTGTGTGCGAGCACACACTTTCGTCCTAATGGCCCCAGGAGGGATCCCGGCATCAGGCTTTTGTGTTGCTTTCAAGGTTGCGGCCGGGTGGGTGAGGGGGGTGGCCTTCGACTGGGAAGGGTGGGTGGGGGGAGGCAAAAGAAAATCTTAAAAGACTGTCTTCCCTCTGGTCTCCAAGGAGATCAGCCTGTGAAATGATCCGCACGTTAATTAAAAACGATTATATCCTGATTGAGCCATTCCTGCTCACATCCCCCAGCCGCCGAGGACGAGGCTGAGACCAGAGGCTGTGGATGGGACAGCATCCAGTGGTGGGCACAGCCCACTCTGGGCACAGCCAGCTTGAGCCCAGCCCACAGAGGGGAACTGACCCTGGAGGCAGCCCCCGGTGGCAAAGGTGTTGGGGCATCTGCCCAACGCCCCTGTGAGCTTCTCATTGCCTTGACCGCCCTTCCAGACTGTGT